GATATATATATATACACACACATATTTTAACTGGCATTGTTGTATTATTACTCATTTTGGATTATGTAAAACACTCATGTTCGTGTACAGTCCAAAGTTTTGTATGATGACTATTGGGTTAGTAGTAGAATGGGATAATAGACTGATAGACATCTACTGACTACTACTCTCATATGTTAGGGTGGTATACCCTCGCACGAAGTCTATGTATTTTATGTTGACAGTACGTAGGCCTATGTGTGTGCTACCGACATACATTGTCTTAACATCCTCACAGCAAGATGCAAGAACTAAAATTGCACAGCGAAGAAATCGGTAGATGGATCAAAAACAAAGAAAAAACTTCATTTATTGCAAATTAATTATAAACTTTCAAGAGTATAAACAGAGGTTTTACGATATGAACATTCTTTATGGTATGAAATATAACACACAGAGATTTTATACTCTCACTGTTTCCAATTTGTAAATGTTGGTCGAATAAATAAATGGAATTAAATTAAATGATAAATTGGAGTGTCGCGCATGTCTTGATGACGTTGCGTTTAACCGCCTGGAGAGTAGCTTAGCTCAGTCGGCCTATAGAGAAAATGGTCGGCCTATCTGGTGGTAGCCACTGTGTGTGCGCTGAACCGTGGAGATCTCTAGGTCCCCGGTTTAATTCCCATCACTACCTCTCCTTGTGTTTCAGCTGGAGGGCTGAAATACAAGTTAGAATAGTGCACCGTCTTTCGGATGAGAGGTTTAGGCTGTTGGTCCTGTGTGCATTATGTCCCATGTGCACATTAAAGAACGCAGTACACTCTTCCGAAAAGAGTAGGGGATTGTCTCCCGGTGCACTGCCCAATCACCACCAGAAGGACCCCACTGGAAATAAGCCTTCTTCTAGACTTTCGTGGGCTATCCTTTGTGTTTAAACCGAATAAATACAATAATCCAATCCAATCCAAGTCATGTTAATGTATACAAAAATAATATGAATGTGTGTTTAAAACTATATAGGGATGTATACCTACCGACGCAATACGGTGATAGACCGGCTCGATATTTAGTTTTGTCGAATAGGAATCCTGAGTAGCATGTACATAATACGCGTCCAAAGTTATTGGTACATTGCTGTTCACAAGGTGTGTCGGCACAGACGTCCAACTCTAATCACATGTAAGAGAGAGAGAGAGAGAGAGAGAGGGAGAGAGAACAATTAGTAGGCCTATATTTATTCAATACAGCAGTTACGAGATATAACATGAAGCAACATCTTTATTTGGCACTGCAGATTGGCGGGTTTTTCATTTCAACTATATTTGTATTGTTATTGTTGTTTTACTGCTGCTGCTGCTGTTGGTGCTGTTTTTGCTGTTACTTGTTGTTGATGCTTTTTTTTCTTATTACTGTTGTTCTTGTTGATGTTCCTGTTGACCCTGTTTGTAATTATCTATGTCTATGACCTACCTTCTGGAACACAATGTCCATTTACGTATTGATATCCAGCGCAACACCGCTTCCTGGAAGAGGAAACAGACACGTTAAACCAGCCCTAAACCAGAATAAAAATCATAGACATTTTATTATTGTGCTGTCATGTAAAAAGGAGGCTGTGTAATACTTACACTCCACAGGGTATCAATTCACAGAGTCTTACTACTCATGCATTTGTTATTGTGCTTGAATGCAACACCGACTAAGTGGGAATCTACCAGGTCTGATGATCTGTCTATTATGTCATGTTTCCGATGTTCGTACTCCTGTTGGAGTTTGTGGGTTGGCCAGCCCTAATGATTTCAAAGATCCTACACCGAGCTGTATAGTTGGTATGTAGTTGATTATAACGTCATGTCCTTTGATTTCAACATTACGATTCGTTAAATTTAAGTATTGTAGGCGAAATGTGTTTGGATAATTTACTGTATGTTGAATTTAACAAACGCAGATTCAGGCAGAATATACGACTTGCGTATCAATATTGGTAGAATATAAGTAGTAGACTGTACATGAAAACCCGGGATGGAAACAAAGGCAGTTTACCTACCTTACGCATCTGTCTGTTCTCCCGTCGGATCGATGGCATGGATAAAACGTCGAAATGATTTTACTTCTTGGACAGTCTTCTGTTTCTTCAATTCTACGAGGAAAAACATTGGTTTAAATCTGGAGTACAAATTTAAGTAATCTGAAATAATATAAGTAATGTAGAGGCAATGTTGGTTTTGTTTGTTTAATGATGTCTAAACTATTCACTGAAAAATTTCTGTATTGGATTCTTTGGTACTGAAAGCAAAGAGTATATAAATACTCTTTGCTGAATGTAAAAAGCGCGCCCCCATCAGTCAACATTACATCACGGGAATTTCCCTTTTGAGACTAAACAATAAAAATATTGTAAAAAGAAGACTAAAATTAAAGAGAAAGTATCAGGTGGTAAAAGCAAGGTAATTTACCATATTAACTTCATTATTAATATTTTATCTTACCAATAATTGTAACATAGGCCTAATTGACTTAGGCCTATGTCGTTTATCGATTGCCATATAGTATTACGCCTGCAGACGTTATGACATCACGTTTACTTAACTGGGGTGAAATAATGAAGGTGCACAAACGCATACACAAGTAGAATATATAATTATAAAGAATAATGAAAATAATAATGATAATGCATTTGTAAATAATATGCAAATGCTTTTATTAAACACCCCGAATATTTGAAATTTACATCATGAATATTGGAAAATAATTCAAGGTTGATAGGCTAAACAGTATGCCTTAAACAGAGAAAATATGATAAAATATTATAAAAATGAAAAGCTAAATGCGTTATTTTATACCTTATAGTCATGTTTTATACAAGACAGAAATGTGTACCGAAGAAGACCTTGATCTTAGGGTCACAGGACAGGGATGTCGCCAGTGGCCTAGAGCAATTCTTATCTGGGTCAATTAAAAGCCTAGGCGACGAGTCACAAATTTAACTATTTGACTACTAATCGGTAATTGATTATGACAGAACTAGTGGCTGAAATAATATTTTTGAAAATAAACACAATCCGGAGGCTGTCATCTACACAAACTTAAAGCAACCACAATACGACAGAGTCTCAGTAGATGTACAGTATATTTATATATAGACACTTCTGCTAAGGGTCATCTGGTGAGGTCTCGTCGGATCATCTAACTAGAAGTTTTCCCATCCCAGTTAATTTTAACATGGTTTTACCCCAGGAGCAATGCTTCTATTAAACACGGTCTCCGGATTGCATTAGATGGGTTTAAAATTTTATAATAGCCTCGGGTCATTGATTCATGTGATTTTAGCAAGAACACCGCTTGCTGTCGTTGTACAGTATTTGGCAGTTTTACATTGATATCATAATTTTTAGATAGTACGCCTACATTTCTGTCGACATACCTTGGTAACGGCCATTGAGTAAAATGCTACAACTGCGAGAATTTGGAATCAACTAGGCCAAAAAAGTGAACAAAGCCTATGCAGATATAAATTAATCTATTGACATTCCAATGTTTCCAAACTTCAATTATTTATTCGACAAAAAAGTTAATGTAAGTCATGGATAGGCAGCTGGAGCAAAAAAAATTATAATTACATTGGGGTCATCCATAATTTTCATAAGGTACAAAACATACTCTTTTCTGTGACCCACCTCCCTACCCCTGAAATAGAGTACACAATAAAATGCGTCATTTTCAATCCTCATTCTATCTTTATCATAAAGATACCTACACTTTCAACACCCTCTTCCTGAAACGTATGCTTACTTTTTTCTTTAAAAGTTGCAAATATGGATGGCCCTTACTTTAACGTGACTGTTATCAATTTATTTTCTTATTGGTAAGCTGTTTTTTTTTTAACCATACGAATATTTTGTTAATTCTGTGATAGAAGTATTAAAATTTCATTTAACTGCAAGTCTAAAATAAAACATGACGTCTATTGTATCATGATGATTTTAATAGCAGGCCCAGGCATGGCCTACTTATGGGCTACATGTCTCCTAAATCATTACGTAGCCTAAGTAGTAGGCCGACGGCGAATAATGCTCCCATCCAGAACCACGGGTCTACTAGTCCTAGCGGTTTAGAGTGATTTTGACACAGAATTAATCCAACCTTGAATTTTCCCATTCATTCATAAAAAGTTAATTAAAGGTAGGTCTAGCACGATTGGCATGATTCCATCACCACCATGTGTCTTGACGGGGTGACGAAGCTGAGTTCTCTTATCATAAAAACACATTAACTTCAACAGACCTCATCAATATTGCCATTAACTCCCATCTGACACTAGGTATATTTTTACCGTACGGTACACGTTTATCAAATGAGTGACGTTGGTGATTTCAGGTGACCGGTACGGTACGCCTGTAGGGTTACACATTGGAATTACCACCCTAGCGGCTTAGGTTAGACTGTGGCAAGTCTAGGCTTAGGTATAAGGTGAAGTAAGTTGAGTTGAACTAGGCTCCGGATGGAAAAATAATATGCTGTAGTTTCTAAGACACAGAATTGGTGTCTAAAGAAATAATCGAAAAGATTTTTTAATATCTGGGGGAAGTGGGGGGGGGGGGGGGGGTTGTTACAACATCAATTATTTTTCATCCGGAGCCTGTCTTTAAGTTTATTTTTTAGTAAAGTAATTTCAACGGTGCATTTTCCAATTATACGAGATATTTTCCTATCGTTCGTACCTAAATATCTGTTCATAAAATCCGTATAAACGAATGTATAAATAATTACGGTACTTTCTAAATTGCCAAGAGCAAGATGAGCTCTGCCAAATCCACAGCCGCACACCACCATCAATCTGACGATGCAGTTAAACTTTCATTCATGCTTTGCCTTTTCCAAAATAGTTGGCAAGCTATCAAGACAATAGCTTAATGTTTAAGTGGCAAAACAGACCTTGTTATACAGCTGTAAACTGTACGTTTGTTGTGTTTATTTAATAGGCGTAACTCATAAGTTATTCAACTAAACAGATTTAAAACTTCCGGCAATAAATATAATTATTTACCTAATCTGATTTTTGAAAAAAGAAAGAAATAAACTAAGCCTAAATATAATTACTTACTTTGCTTTAGCGTTCTTGGTAAATACATCCAGGAATGCAAGGAAAACAAATATCCAATATATACAAATATCCATAATACTTAATTTAAAAGTAGAAGATACAGAAATTGAGGACTGGATATTTCGCTTATGCTGCACCACCGGGACGCAACCTGTTCCAGCAGCTAAAACTCTGGGTACGTACGAGCGAAATGACCACTGTTAAAACTGTGTTAACTAGCACTCGTACATTCTTCGTAAAATAAGCTTCATGAGCCAATAAACGAAAGGCAAACGGACTCGGATCGGGATTATATCTAACAGACTTTCCTCAAACGTATTGCGGGTGATCCCTCCTACAACCTGGCCCTGCTGACGGTCCCTGGATCGAGGCTGAATAATTCAAGAGATATGATAATCCGAAATGACGTATGGTTTAGCCTTTTAACAATATAGTCCTAACACTTGCGAAATGTACAAACTATCAATAACTCTGAAAAGCCAGCTGCTTCTGCGCGACGAGGAAAGATGAACATCCGAATAGTTTTGCTACAAAGTGGAACAGATGTCATACGAGTATGGTTTACCACAGATCGTTAAAACGAACTTTTTAACTCTGGGTAGGCCTACGCTGGTACAGTAATTCAATTCAGAAATTATGCCAGGAACTGCCTAATAGGGACATGATTCAATATCTGATATTAACTATTAGAAAATTAAATCAAATGAAATACAATATTGAATTCAGGCCTACATTTACAAGGTGCAGAAGAAGAAATAAACCATTAAATAAAACAAAAATACGGCGAATGTCATAGTCTATACTATGTTTCTTCATACCGTATAAATATTCATCGAAACACTTGGATGTGTGTAACACTTAGCTAAGGCGTAACCTATTGTATTATTATTATTATCTAAAAATATTATCATCATAATTACTATAATCAATACCATCATCGCCACCACCACCATTATAATCATCTTCATCATCATCACAATGATATGCAGTGAAATTTTTAATTACTAAATTAATCTTAATATATTTTTGTAATCTTAAATTAAAACCTGTAAATATGCAATTTAAATCAATATTGAATTCTTTATATTTTATTTTCTAATATTTATTAAATTACGTAGTCCTATATAAACCGTAATAATTCAATCAATTCATTCATTAGATAATCTTGAAATATTGTCTTCAAGAATCGCCGTGTAATATGCAGTATATTATTGGTCACTTTTTATTGTATATGGTCGAATAAATAAATGAAAATGAAATGAAATCACCAACACCATCACCATTTCCATCACCATCGTCATCATTATCATCTTCATTATCATCATTTCCATCATCATCATCATCATCATTATCATCATCCTCATCATTATCATCATCAACAATATCACTATCGTCATCAGCACTGCAGCATCAATATTATCTTTATACTATAATTATTATCACCATCATCATTATCATCATTTTGTTCTTACTTTATACGCCTTTCAAACATGAAAAATTATTATTGCACGGTTGTATATGATTGTACTGTATTACAGAGGGTATTACATACTCATAGGT